ATGCTTTTTACTCACCTCGCTGTGTAGCTGATGGAAGGACGTTTTGTTTGTGTCTGAAATCGACAGTCTTGGCAGTGGTGAGGAAGATTCACTAAGACGATTAAAAGATAAGGAAGAAACCTTGGGAGGAACCAAGACATTAAGCAAGACTCTACTGGTCAAATTTGCCTAAATTGCCAAAAATGTCTTTGTTGTCCTATTGTTTTCATATTTCTTAAAGATAGACCAATAACGTTTAGGCGTTGTACATAATCAACCAATTGTGGCGTATGAGAAGGTGGAAGGTACAGAGACTGGTCAAAGCAATGCAAATATAAAAACATTGATATTTGATATATGTTCTCATAATGTTGAGAGGAAACGTTCTGAGATCAACATTCTCTCAACATCCTTATGATGTTATTTGTACTTCATGAACATTCCAAGAAACCTTTTTTGTAACCTTTAAAATAACATTCTAATCACAACATAAAAACATTTTAACGTTCTTAGAATATTAAAAATAAATGCTCAAGAAATGCTATATTTTCCGTGAAAATACAGTTGGTAGAATGTTGTAAGAAATGTTTCTGTAACCTTTAACATTCTAATCGCAACAAGCGACCTGGGCTGTGTTTCCCAAAAGCATCGTAAACTTAAAGGGTTAGTTCACCCAAAAATGAAAATTCTGTCATTAATTACTCACCCTCATGTCGTTCCAAACCCGGAAGACCTTCGTTCATCTTCGGAACACAAATTAAGATATTTTTATGGAATCTGAGAGCTCTCTGACCCTCTAAACACAGCAGTGCAACTGCAATGTTCCCAGTCCCAGAAACGTAGCAAGGACATCGTTAATAGTCCAAGTGACAAGAAGCTACAAGAATACTTTTTGTGCACAAAGAAAACTAAAATAACATAATTTATTGAACAATTCTTCTCCCCGAGTTACCGTCTTCAGATTTCATCAAAAATATCTTAATTTGTGTTCCGAAGATGAACGAAGGACTTACGGGTTTGGAACGACATGAGGGTGAGTAATTAATGACAGAATTTTCATTTTGGGTGAACTATACCTTTAAGTACACTGTAGATCTATTGAAACCAATGGAGCTACAATCAACTTATGCTTATGATGCTTTTGGGAAACGCAGCCCTGGACATTTTAACATTCTTAGAATATTTGATCTGTGAAGTGTTTTGAGCTGAAACTTCACAGACACATTCTGGGGACACCAGAGACTTATATTACATATTGTAAAAAGGGTTATAATATGTCTCCTTTAAATAGCATTCTAATCATGACAAGAAAACTGCTCATTTTAACATTTCGAAACAACGTTCCCACAGTGTTTTTATAATCTCAATTTGTTATCTGGGACCCTATACTGGAGGTTTTTACAGAGGGTTTAGCCTGATTTATATAACATTTCATCTTTATTTTTTTTCTTTGTATGAAGGTACATCTAGTTTCAGAACAATGTTGCGCATAATGCAATTTAAATTATTTATTTATGTTTTCAGTTAACATGCTAACTGATTAGCCTACTAAGCTAACATATCCAGCACAAAACTAAAAGATGGTTATACATCATATTTAATGTAACATTCACACTTATAAAAAATATCTATGAAATTATATTATATTATATTATATTCATAATACAGAAATAATTTAGGAAAAACTTTAGGATGTTTAAGGACACTTTTATAGTATGAATGTAAATATGAATTGAAAGTAATGATAAAAATGGCCATTCATAAATGAATATACTTCTTTTAACCACTCTGTCAGAAGCCTTTTTCTTCTTTTAACCAACCAGTCAACCACACAGCCAGGATTTTGGGATATCAAAGACCTATATAAGCTTCAAAAATCTTTCAGATGAAGACATCGCATTTGACAAGATGTTACATAAATACTGGACTCGGACGAGCCTTGGTGCTTTCCTACCTTTGTATGCATGCTTGAAAAAGCAGCAAGGTGTGTGTGTGTGAGTGTGTGTGTGTGTGTGAGTGTGTGTGTATGTGTGTGTGTGTAACTGGAGTTTGTGAGCTTGATTAAAAGGTAATAATGAACTAAATCATAAAAATGTAAAATTAAATAAATCATTTAAAAAAGCAAAACACTTACTAAAAAAAATGATAATAAAATAATAATATATAAATAATAAAATTCAATATTTTATTTGTTTACCTGTCTGTGAGCATGCAAATGTGTTACTTAATTATTCAATTATTAACATCTCAGGAGGTAGGTTGCTTTATGTAAATACATGTTTGTCTGACATTTTTTTTGTAAATCTAGTACTCAAATGCTGTAGCCACCTGACTGTAATTATAATATTATATATTATATAATTATAATAGTGACTGGTCCACAGAACTGGAAGACTTTCTCAATGTATATAAGTGGTAAGCTCTTAAAAAAATGAAAAAGAGTAATTAGGAGAATCGATAAATTATTTATATTAATTGCCATTATGTGAATAATATGTAATCAATAGAAAAGTAACTGCAGTCTGATTACGAGTGTTTTCAAATGTAATCTAATCTAAATACAAGTACTTCATTTTTGGAATCTGATTACATAAGTACTACCCAGCACTGATTATATATTATATAATACATTTATATACACTATATATAATAGAGTACATAATGCAATACATGTACATATTATATCTTATACATATTACATTTACATAAATGAGTACTAGTTCAATAATAACAGATTGTCTGTAAAGAAATATTTCTTTATGTCTCTCAGTTTAACTTTGTAGGACATGTTTGATGAAATCGGGCTGAGGTTAGCTGCTGGTCATTCTTTCTTTCTCTTGTCTGACCAGGGGATTTTACTCCCTCGTGAAGTTCTGCTATTGATTCTCAAAGAGAGCGGTGTGTCGGTGCACAGGGCCACATTTTTAGATCCTTCCCATGCCCTTTCATTGATCTGTTTGGGAGTATATTCTTTGTGGCGAAAGAAGGTTCTTCAGATTATAAAAAGGTAAGAAAGAGATGCTTCTTTAAAGAACCTTTGACTGAATGCTTCTTTGTGGAACCAAAAATGGTTCTTCTATGGCATCGCTTGAAGAACCTTTTGAAGCACCTTTATTTTTAAGAGTGTATGAGAAAAAAGTCAGAATTGTGAGTTTATATCTGCCAATTCTGACTTTATTTCTCAGAATAACTACTTTATTTCTCAGAGTTGCACAGTTTATATCTCACAATTCCGACTCAATTTCTCAGAAATGTGAGTTTATATCATGCGGCTCTGACTTTGTAACTCACAATTGCGAGTTTATATCATGCGATTCTGCAAAAAAGTCAGAATTGTGAGACAAGTCGCAGCTACCTTTTTATTTTCTTATTCAGTGGCAGAAACGGGCTTCCATAGATTTGTGATTTGTCTTCAGTAAATGCATAAACTTCTTCAAGTCTGTCATGCTTCTGCACCCTCAAAGCTTCTCTGTTTTAGATGAAATGTAGCAACACTGCAGAAACTAATGGCTAAAAATAGTCAGTTAAAAATGGTACTTGTGATGCATGTATTTATCAACAGTTTTCCTTCACAGTGACAGAAAAAGAGAAAACTAATATATCAAGGAGCAGAATGCAAAATTACGGGGTGGTAAAATTAAAGGGGTTTGTCTGGTGGTTTAGTATTAGATTCAGCAAAGCTCATAATCTGTTAAATTCAGAGAGAAGGGTAAGGTCATCTGCCATGTTCGTGAAGAGACAATTTACCCTCCCGCATCTTCTATCTGATTTGCATACATATATTTATTTGACACAAATAAGAAACAAGCAGCTCTTGATTTTTCTGTCAAGAATCCAGTTTAAATGCTGTGCCTACTCTAATGCCAAACCGCAAGGGGTGCAACATTGCAATGTGTCAGGATTATACCAACTCGAACGAACAAATTGTATTTTAAACCCAGTTCGTTTAATGATTCATTGCACATTCAGAACAAAACATCCTCATATACCCACGAGCGAAATCAAAAGTCTCAGCACAAACGTTCACAATGACAAACAGAAACAGCTTAATATTTCAGTCCGATCCTGTAGATGTATTTCCTCTGGGTTTGAATGAATGGTGAATGATGTTTGGTGAATAATGTAGATCACATCATAAATGCGTTCATTGATATGAGCCATTACTCTATATGAGTGAAATAACATGCATTATCATCTGCCTACCGCAGAAACATACTCACTTGTGCTGTTTTAAATTCTTTATATAAAGGGTACATTTATGGTAAAGGAATAGTTCACCCAAAAATATAAATATGCTAAAAATGTACTCACTCTCAGGCCATCCAAGATGTAGATGAGTTTGTTTCTCCATCAGATTTGGAGAAATGTAGCATTGCATCACTTGCTCAGCAATGGATGCTCTGCAGTGAATGGGTGCCGTCAGAATGAGAGTCCAAACAGCTGATAAAAACATCCCAATAATCCACAAGTAATCCACACCACTACAGTCTACACGTTTTGAGAAGTGAAAAACTGTGTCTGTAAGAAACAAATCCATCATTAAGATGTTTTGACTTCAAACCATTGCTTCAAACCATACGAGTCCTCCATAATATTGATTTCTCCAGTGAAAAAGTCGTCTTATCTCGATCAGGAGAGAAATATGCACAGATCAAGCACTGTTTACAAGCAAATACAGTCCAAAAAAAGTCAGTGGATTTTGAGGTGAGAGGATGGACTTTTTCACTGGAGGAAGCATTATCATGGATTGTTTTTTGTCCTGAAGCAGCGCTTTAAAATGTCTTAATGACGGATTTGTTTAATACAAACACTCAGTGCTTCACGTCACAAGACGTTAACTGATGGACTGGAGTGATGTGGATTACTTGTGGATTATTGTGATGTTTTTATCAGCTGTTTGGACTCTCATTCTGACGGCACCCATTCACTGCAGAGCATCCATTGCTGAGCAAGTGATGCAATGCTACATTTCTCCAAATCTAGGAAGAAATAAATCTTAGAAATCATCTTGGATGGCCTGAGAATACATTTTCAGCAAATTTTCATTTCTAAATGAGCTATTCTTTAAAACTCTCCAACAGTATCGAATAATGCAAACCACATTCACATACGAATCCTGCAGTTCTCATATGTGCATTGCATCTACAGGTGGAACGCCATACAATAGTGCTGTGCTGTCCATGCACCTACTTTGAGCATCACCAGGTAATACACACTTGTGATTATTGTGCATATATACAATCTGTTTTTCATTTGAGAGGTTTGTCTAGACGCCGTGAAATTGGTTTAGACTTTAATGTCATTGTGCCAAACAGGACCGGTCCCTTTAGGAGTCACTTGAGGTTCACTGAATTGTTAATTGTGCATCTTGCCCGCATGATTACACAGACAAGCCAATTAAGCCTAAGCAAAAGAAATATGCGCTGAGAGCTCTGTTGTGTTGCACTAATAGGCTCGGCAAGCCTGCAGGAAATCATTTCAGAGCCGATATTTTTTCAAGAGCTCCGACTGCCACATGTACTTCTTCTCCGGAAAGCGCTCTGGAATTTTAATCCGCCGGAAGTCCTGGATGCATTTCTCCAGCTCCTGCTCCGGAGTCAGCTTCTCCTTGGCCGGCTTCCTCTTCCCTGCCATGGCGTCACGCGGCCCGGCGGTTCGAATTCGGAGCAGATCGGTCCTCCTGGGAATTGGGGTCGGACCCTTTTTCACCGGCCGGTCCAGAGTCTGGATGTTGGGCTGGCGGGTGACCGGACGCACGATGACCGTTTCCTGCGGAGAGCTGGCTTCCGATTGGGTCTCGGAACAGGAAGTGGAGAGCTCGTTGAAGGAAGTGCCACTCTCACCCTCGCGCTCGCTCTTGTGGCTCTTGCAGCAGCAGTCGCAGTGAGAAGAAGACCAACCGGATGGGCCACCTTAAAAACACAAAACCCACAGATATCAAACACATACAGCCGAAATGATAACAGAAGTCTCATTGGGAGTCATTTCGGAAGTCAGTGCAATTTTGTTGTAGGTATCAGTTTGCAGAACGGTCCGTTTAGGAATCAGGATTTGTGAAACCTGATAACAAAGGTGAAAGAACTGAGGTGAACCAAGATATTCTTCATTTCCCGCACTATAACCAACACAAATGCTCCTCTAATGGCACGGATGTTTCTCATTTTACACAGTCGATGCTTAAGTAGCCCATTTAAAATGCATCATATGCTCAAAGGGAAATTAAACTCACAAACTTGAAAATAAAAAAGCATCACGTGCACACGATGAAATGCATTAATATGCACGAGTGCAAGCCAGTCGCTTGGCATTGAGCAGGTTGACCTTATTAAAGACATAAAGAATCCACATTTAAATCATCGTGTGAACTATAGGCATCGATCTGTTTTGTGATTTAGACAAAGAACTGTGCTAAAACCACAAAGGGCCGAGTCCTTGTCTCAAAAAAGATAACAGTGTGCATCAGTCGCTTTTGTTATCTGATGGATATATGCATGCATCAAAACAGAGAAATCTCCAAACATCAAAGTATTAGCTGAATGAAGGGATGGAACACCTTCAAATGCATTTACATATTCATATTTCCGTATAATCCTTGAGTGAGATAGAGGTGGAGAATCTGAGCTCTGAAAACAGTGTTAGTGAACATGCTTTCTGTTTAAAACTAAATTTAAATGTCTGAAAATCCACTGCACTTGTGAAACAAATGTGAATGAATGACATCCCGTTCACCTTCACAGGCAGACCACAAACCAACCTCTAGCTATTCTGTTTCCTGGCAGGCCTTTACCGGCCCTCCAGCCCAGGTGTCTCCTTCAGTTCATGGACACAAATCACCTCCCACTGCAGGGATCCTGCTTGAAGAACTGGATGTGAACGTGTCCGGGTCATATTTCATGTCAAGATCAAGGCAAAAATTATATTTTGTATAAAGAAAATAAGTCTTTTATTCAAGACCATTACAATTCTCATTATTACTGTAATGCATAAAGACATAAAAAAATGTTTAAATAGCAAAGAATTTATACAACAAGGTATTAAAACAAATTAGTTATGACCATTAAATTATCTTTAGTCTAATGAATAAATAAATGTAAGTAGTAAAGACTTTATATGTCATAGTATTAAAAAGAATCATTAGTTTAGACCATTAAAATTCTCTTTATTGTAATGATAAAATAAAACATTTATGAATTTATAAACCATGGTAAATGGTCCTTTATCGACCATAAAAATTCTCATTCTCATTCGCATCAAATTCTCATTAATGCAAAATGTAAATAAATAAATGCATAAATAAAAAATAAACAGTTAAGACCATTAAAATTCTCTGTATTGTGATGCAAAAAGAAAAGAAAATTTCAATAAATAAATAAATTATATAAATAAATGCAAGTAGTAATGATTTTATATGTCTTGGTATTAAAATGAATCATTAGTTAAATCCATTAACATTCTCTTTGTTCTAATGAAAAAAGAAAATCAAATTTAAATAAACAATTACACATTTATACACCATGGTAAATGGTCCTTTATGTACCATTAAAATTCTCATTAATGCAAAATGTAAATAAATAAATACATGCATAAATAAAAACAAATAGTAAAGAATTTAAACATTGTGGTAAAATTAAGCATTAGTTAAGACCATTAAAATGATCTTTATTGTAATGCAATAAATGCAATAAATAAACAATTAAATACACCATGATATTAAAAATGTATATTTTTAAGACCATTAAAATTCTCAATATTGAAATGTGAAAGTAAATAAATAAATACATGCATAAAAAAAGGATTTTAAACATTGTGCACTAAATTAAAGCATAGTTAATATAATTACAATTCTAATAAATAAATAAATAAATAGTAAAGCTTTTATAGATCATGGTGTTGCTTGTTTTACTTGCATTTATTGATTTAGATTTTTTTTTTTTACTTTTCCTTCACAGTAATGAGAATTTATAATGTTTAAATTATGATCATTTGGTTTAAATAATTTGGTTAATTTGATAATTTGGTTCAATAATTTCTTAATGCATTATTTAATTTCTCATGTAAATTTTCCTATAATTTGGGTGATGAAATATGACCTGGACATTACATTGAGAGATTCACCCACCCAAAGCACAGTATGTGTATGATCTTTCACATGTGTGTGTGTATATACAGTAATGGCTGCTGTGTTTTCTCAGTCCAATCCCTATGAATCGCAGCTGTGGTTTCAAGAACATAAAACGTAATATCTATAGCTTGACAGAGGCTCGATAAAATAAGTCTGACGTTTTCTCCCAAGGGGTCACCGTATCTCCACCTTCCTGTTATTGGTGTTTCTCATGTATAGAATTTCAACCCTTTCCCCATCAGCTTGACATACTATTAAAAAGAATGATCACCAATGAGACGTCATCTGCATAGAGGGATGCTATTTTACATCTGAGTATTGTTATTAGCTAAACACGACTCTCAGAAGCAATAATTTGTGTTCATTGTGTCTCCGAAGCTGCTAATTTATCCTGATTAATAACAAAATCATTCAGCTGAGCTGCAAATACATTTTACTGAATGCATTAACAGGCTAATTGGAGGCAGTGTGATTGCTAGTGGCTTCCTAATGGGAATCCATGAATCTGACACCAGAATAAGCAGAACATTTCCCTGCATAACTATTAAAGCAGGTTCTCCTCTCTGTCCATCTCTCATCTTCGCTTCCCTTTGCCTGCAGCATATGAAGGGTAAATAGAAAGGCTTTTACTGAAGAATTGTTTCTAAATGGATGGTGCAGCCTGATGGGACCACAAGTCGAGAAGCATGGCCAGCAACAATGCTATAAAACGAAATAATTTTCACCTTTTATTCTACTAAACAAAACACATCAGTAGTACCCCACTCAAGACTTGAAGCTTTTATGTGTCTTGACAAAAAGGAGACTGCTAACAAGTGGCTAAATAGAGGTTGTCAAGGATATTAAACGTCCTCGTGCAGAGCTGGAAAACTCATTTACTTACTAGTCTGCTTTTACAACCTTGGTGTGTTTAAACTTGCACTCTTGGAAACTCAAACTTGTAGATTGCAAATAATGATTGAAAGAGTGAGTTGTTGGAAGCTTAGTGATCAGTGTTGGGTACACTCTAAAAAATACTGGGTTAAAAAGGGACAAACCCAGCTATTGGGTTGTTTTGACCCAGCGGTTGGGTTGTTTTGACACAGTGGTTGGGTTGTTTTGACCCGGGTTGTTTTGACCCAGCGGTTGGGTTGTTTTGACCCAGCGGTTGGGTTGTTTTGACCAGGGTTGTTTTGACACAGCGGTTGGGTTGTTGTGACCCAGGTTGTTTTGACACAGCGGTTGGGTTGTTTTGACACAGTGGTTGGGTTGTTTTGACCTGGGTTGTTTTGACCCAGCGGTTGGGTTGTTTTGACCCGGGTTGTTTTGACACAGCGGTTGGGTTGTTGTGACCCAGGTTGTTTTGACACAGCGGTTGGGTTGTTGTGACCCAGGTTGTTTTGACACAGCGGTTGGGTTGTTGTGACCCAGGTTGTTTTGACACAGCGGTTGGGTTGTTGTGACCCAGGTTGTTTTGACACAGCGGTTGGGTTGTTGTGACCCAGGTTGTTTTGACACAGCGGTTGGGTTGTTGTGACCCAGGTTGTTTTGACACAGCGGTTGGGTTGTTGTGACCCAGGTTGTTTTGACACAGCGGTTGGGTTGTTGTGACCCAGGTTGTTTTGACACAGCGGTTGGGTTGTTGTGACCCAGGTTGTTTTGACACAGCGGTTGGGTTGTTGTGACCCAGGTTGTTTTGACACAGCGGTTGGGTTGTTGTGACCCAGGTTGTTTTGACACAGCGGTTGGGTTGTTGTGACCCAGGTTGTTTTGACACAGCGGTTGGGTTGTTGTGACCCAGGTTGTTTTGACACAGCGGTTGGGTTGTTGTGACCCAGGTTGTTTTGACACAGCGGTTGGGTTGTTGTGACCCAGGTTGTTTTGACACAGCGGTTGGGTTGTTGTGACCCAGGTTGTTTTGACACAGCGGTTGGGTTGTTGTGACCCAGGTTGTTTTGACACAGCGGTTGGGTTGTTGTGACCCAGGTTGTTTTGACACAGCGGTTGGGTTGTTGTGACCCAGGTTGTTTTGACACAGCGGTTGGGTTGTTGTGACCCAGGTTGTTTTGACACAGCGGTTGGGTTGTTGTGACCCAGGTTGTTTTGACACAGCGGTTGGGTTGTTGTGACCCAGGTTGTTTTGACACAGCGGTTGGGTTGTTGTGACCCAGGTTGTTTTGACACAGCGGTTGGGTTGTTGTGACCCAGGTTGTTTTGACACAGCGGTTGGGTTGTTGTGACCCAGGTTGTTTTGACACAGCGGTTGGGTTGTTGTGACCCAGGTTGTTTTGACACAGCGGTTGGGTTGTTTTGCCCCAGCGGTTGGGTTGTTTTGACCCGGGTTGTTTTGACACAGTGGTTGGGTTGTTTTGACCCAGCGGTTGGGTTGTTTTGACCTGGATTGTTTTGACCCAGCGGTTGGGTTGTTTTGACCCGGGTTGTTTTGACCCAGCGGTTGGGTTGTTTTGACACAGTTCAAAACAAAAAACCGCTGGGTTTGTCCCTTTTTAACCCAGTGCTGGGTTATATTTAACCCAGCATTTTTTAGAGTGTAAGTTACTCTAAAAAAGTAATTCATTACTAGTTACTAATTACATCTTCAACAGTGTAATTAGATTACTGTACAAATTACTCTCTCCAAAAAGTATTCAATTACTTATTATTATAATTACTTTTTAAATCCTATATCAATCTCGACAAATTAATGATACAAGGATAGACATGAAATGGTTCTTTTAATTCTTTCAACTACATAAATTATTTTCATAAATTAATTCCAATTCGCACTATTAACTATGACATTTGCCTCAA